AAGATGACTCCTCCGTGCCTTGCCATGCCGTGCCGTGCCGTGCCGTTCCGTTCCGTTCCGTGCGGTGCTGTGCCATGCTGCGGACTGTAGCCTCCTCTCTGTCTTGGTGTACAGGTTCTTTCAGGGGAGGCTGACCTCGGCTGTGTTGTAACGAGGAGGATCGGCCGGAGCCGCTGGCGGATCGCGAAAATTTAATTTCGATCGCCGCGGGGTTCGTTAAATGACCCGTCTCTCTAGGCTTCTTCTCTTTTTTCGGTTTGCCCGGTGGTTATGTTCATTGCGGGGATTCGGGATACGCGCGAATCGAAGGTGATCAGGACTTGTTGCATGAGTTTTCGTGTGGACGGAACCAAACTCGATCGCAGAAAGTCGCTTCAGTCCGGTCACTCGCGTTTACCTTTTGTAAACGACTTGCCGAAGTATCCGGAACTCTTGGCGAAGAAGCTGACACACGCCAAACTCTTAAGCTAGAATGAAAGAGGGCAGTTCTGATCTTCCGTTGACTGAACAATTCGATCATCTTCTTGCTACTGTACATTCGTCCTCAAAGGTTTCATTCACGCGTCAAAACGAAGAAATCCAACTGTTAGTCAGGTGGCACGATTTTCGACTGTATATCCCCCTTTCCAAGAGGGATAGAGAGAGAGGGGGGGAGGATCGATCGTGCGACCTTGAACTTCGAGGAATTTCGAACGAGAAGGAATTTGTCCCGGGGGATGGTCACGAAAACGAGAGAAAGAGAGAAAGGGCGAGAGAGAAGGGGAAAGATCGCGGCGATTCCTAGGAGGTTCTCGTTCGCGGAACCGCCGCGGATATATCTAGGAGAGCCCTACGCGACTAGAATCGAGTCCAGCCGAGTAGGAGGCGTCCACCTTAACCGTGGCCGGTTAACGGCGATAATTTATTGCCGTTTAAACGGCCGTCCCCTTCGGTTCACGCGATAACACGACACGCGAATTACGCGGAACGTCGTATACGGGGGCAGAAATTCAATGACGATCCGCGCCGATGGCATTTCTCGCGGGAGCTGATTACCGTGCGCGCTCGCATACACAGGCACGAACACACGAGTACACGGACACAGATGTGCACACGGTGCAGACCCGGCGAGTAATGACGGTGGACACGCGACAGGACTTATCCATTATTCATCGGACCCGAAATCAGTCTTCCGGAATATACATAATTTTCGACGGTCACGTCCGTCTACCCGGAATCTCTCCCACGGGAGTGCGGTCCTCCCCTGTCCTCTCTCTTTCACCTCGCGCCGCTTTCTCTTTCCCTCTGCTCTCAGTCGCGTATCATTATCGTCCGCGTAACCGTACATTTAAGCGGTCATATTATATGCGAACAGGAATAATATGTATGTTTAAATATCCGTCGATGAACAGGGGTGTGATTTAAGTATAGAATTTCTTTTTGATACCCTCCGTGCGTGTGCTTTGATGTTACGGCGGAGGTCTTCGCGAGGAGTAAGGTGTCTTTAATGAGGCACGGAAACGGGGTCGGGGGTGAATTGAGAAATTCGTGAAAATAAAGATTCGGGGCTGATTAAAATCGAATGGGTACGGTGGGACATGGAAACTTCGAGAAGCGTTTAACGGAACATTTTTTAAAAAACATTTCGCGTTGCAGTTTTGCGCTATACTGAGCTAAAAGTAGGGACATCGTTTATATATTTTGAAGTAATACACTTTACGGTACTCAAGACCAAACCAGTTAGCCTTTCGCGAGTAACTCTCGGTCACTTGATTCGATACGGCGACGTTACAAAGTTTTCCATACAATACCAAACTCCGCATAACGCATCGGTTCGTGAAACGGAATAAATTAGCATCCATTCTCCATTAATTATGCGTCCTCGTTAGCTAGTTTCAAAGAAGCTCGTCCACGTCTCATCGCGAAACGTCGAATATCTCCAGCCGAAAGCATCCGAGGGCAAAGGGTTAAACGACCCTTGCCGATCACGAAATCCGTATCAATCCTCGCCAGAAAAAGCACCCCCTCCCCTATCACCGTTATCTCGCGCGCGAAACTCGAACCGATCGGCGAGGCGAGAATACGGCAACTCGGCGAATCCGATCGCACGAGATACACCGGACAGACGGTCGGACGTACGGTCCCGCGGCCAGCCGTCGAGAGGGCCCGAGGAGCCGGCCTCGTCTCCGTCCAGTTCCCCAGCATCCACGAGCGGCGCACAAGTGTACCGGTCGTGTAATGCCTTCTAGAAAGGCGAGGATCGGCGTCGCGGTCCCTGGACGCGAACAGAGAAACAGACAATCTCTGCCTCGGCTCTCCACACATTAGCGATCCCCCTATACCCGCGACACACACGCGAACACACGCTCATTACGCCGGGAAGAGAAGAAACACACCAACGAAACGACTCCAAACTCCGCAAACTTACGGACACACTCGCGCGTACGAACACACGCACAAACAGACAGCAGACAGACAGACAGACGGACGGACAGACAGACGTACACACAGGTACAAGACACACAAGGTAGCGAGAAGAACGTCTACGCACTGGAAAAAGGAAGAAAGATACAGAGGAGAAGCCAAGCGCAAACGTACACGGTGTATAAAAGAGAAGCAACCGATGAGAGAACGGATCCATGGGGTCCCCGGGGTGGCTAGGACGGAGAAGGATAGACAGAGAAAGCGGGAGAGAGTATAGGTTCCACGTTTGTTGATGGTGGGAGGATCGTTGATGCTCCCGGGTAGCCCAAGGTGGGGAGGGTTTGCCGAGAAGGGAGCATCAACTGGGGGTAGGGGTCTAGCGGATGAAAAGAAGGAAAGAGGCGCGAGAGCGAGAACGAGAAGGGAGAGACACCGACCAGTGCACGCTGGTGAGAGGAAGACCGAGCCAGCGCTAGGGGTAGGGAGACAGAGAAAGAGAGAGAGAGCGAGCTAGCTGGCTAGAGCGCGGCTGGGGGAGGGGGAGGCCCGCAGGCCGGCCCGCGGCTCCGACTCAGTATCCCCGGAGCGACCGACTCGTATATACCCCGCGGAGGTGCTGCGTTTCCGTGCTCCAGCCGTGCGCGCGATTCCCACACACGTACACACACGAAGGAACCTGCTCACACGTGTGCACGCATGTACACAAACGTGTGTATGTACACATACGCGCTGACATACACGTGCAAACACGTATGCGCAAACGATCGCGCGTACCCTAGCTACGTTTGAAACGTTCGCGCGCGTGTGTTCGCCCCGCGCACACGTAGAAAGTCGGAAGGTGTAGCCGAAGGTGCACGAGCCACGCGGCCCGCGCGCGATCCCACGGCGGACACACACCTGTTGCCTCGAGGAGACTGACGCAACGGGGGACACCGGGACAGTGTTTATCCCGCCGGTTTCGGACAACGGTGACAGCGGATCACCGGAGGTGGCACGCTACGAGGATTCCGTGGATTTGCCGATGGCCCGTTGCCGCTGATGACAAGAGGAGGATGGAAGAGTGATAGAGGACAGACTTGTTTGGAGGTGCTCTAATGGTTGCAGTGTGCTGTTGGGTTTCGGTAGCGGGGAGGTAGCTATTGGTACCGGCAGGCGTTGGTACCGGTGTATGTTTAGCAGTGATCGATCGGAATGGTTTATGATTCGTTGGATTATTGAGATCCTGGAGCTGAGAAGGATATAGACTCCGAAGATCCTCGGCTGCTTGGTGAACCAAGCTGGGACCTTGAACTTGCCACTTGTTTAGGCTACGTTCGTCTTGGCTGCAGTAGCTTCGTTAGCCCAGGAACAGCACCGTGCTCAACGGACATACGAGTAGAGGGCTATAGATCCTAAGAGAAAGGAGCATCATCTCGCGGGATCGTCGTGGGGAAAGGTGTACCTGCCGCGTGAACACGGCGCGGCGTCGCGGTGCGTTTAGCGACGCTCTTGGAAGAAGCTGCGCGTAGGAAGGACCGTGGACAATAGGACCAACCGGGTTGCTTATAGTTTGGCAGGCAAGTGTTCGGTGTGACAGTGTCCGTCGGGTTGGGAAAGGATCGGTGCCGGGAGTCGAGGGTTTCTAGAAGTGGAGAACCGTGAGACCTGTTAGTGCTTTTATGAAGTACAGACGACAAAGTGCCCGTACTAGAGATAGACCAGTGTTTGTATGAAATCTGGACGATCCAGTGCCTACATGAGATATAGACCAGTGCTTTTCTAGACGATGCAGTGTCTACAGAAGATATAGACGCATACAGTGTCCATACGAGATATAGATATAGGTGTGTGCGCGGACCAGAAGGAATCGGCCGAGTGTTTTGGATAAGTGCGCCGGGATTGTAGATCTTCTCTCGGCCTGCAGAGATACATATATATATATATCGTGGTCCCGATCGTGGACGAAGCAAACGGGTGGTGAAGCACCCGAGTGATTGCAGGGATAATTTCGCTTTTTGGGATATAAATCGATTTGCCAGGGACCACGGATCCGCGGACCACGCTTAACACTCGCTGAGACAATCCGAGCCCGGGGAGTGGCTGGGGAAGACCGCAGGTGACCCACGGGGGAATGGTGATGCGGTAGTCGAGGGATTCCTCGAGGGAAGACATGAGGGCGGCCGCCGCCTACGTCCTGTTCCTTGCCCACCTCATACAGGTACGTTCGCGTCGGTTGTACGCTTTATCTTCGGCCTGTCCCGCGACGACCGTCCGCGTATCCTCTTCCGTATCCGACAAAGCTATACGGGCGTCGCGCGTGTTGGCTGAATCCGACGGAGCAGAGTCGGGTAAGGAGATTCGATCGCCTGGCCGCTGATTTCTCGAATCGAAGTTCCTGGAACTCTGAACCCTTTACACTCGAAAGGCGACTCTCAGTCGTTTGATTCGCTGTAAAACTATAAAATCTGTTTAATGTTGAACTTCGTATAATGCCTTGATACGTGAAATATTGGAATGAAATAGATGTTCCTCAATGTACTTGTGATTTCCCTTCGAGTTTCAATATCGTCTTCGCTTCGTCGAGGAATGTTAAACATTTCCAGTGAGAAACTTCCGAGTGCAAAGGGTCAATAACACAACGTCGGAAGAATACACTTCGAAGCTGTACATACAAAAGCAGAAGTTCATTTTAATCGAAATCACTTTGATGTATCTTCTTTCACAGCATAAATTTCGCGCTAGACTAATCGTGTTTGTATAGTAATGTTTCAACCGCGTTCAACCAAAAGTCTCGCACATAAATCGCTACAATACCCACCGATATATCTTGTTTCCATCAAGATGCTCATTAGACGAATAGCATTGAGGAAAAGTAGGTGAGGGAACCGAACGTCCTCCGAAATTAGCATAAAATGTAGAAGCAGCGCGCGGTGTGCCGAAGGTATTTAGAACGTAGAAAGCCGCGGCCGATCGGGGATATCAGGTTCGAAGTTGCTCGATAAGAGGAAGAAGGAAGAAGACGCAGAAGGCCACGTCGCGTCGCGTTCTCATGGCGATGCACCTGAAAACCTACGCGGCGCGATTGTGTGAGCACGCGTAATAACATCCTACCGTCGCGTCGCGACGATCGGGGCAAATTGCTCGGGCAAAAGTCCAGTTAGACGCGAGACGCACGCCAGGGATCGAGCAATTACCCGCCGATGCTTAATGATAACGTCGCGGCGCGGCGACGCGGATAAACCGTAATTACCGACCGTAAACCGCGCGCCGATCGGGACCCCGGAAAAATGTGTTTTACATATTAATTACATCGGGTATCGAGGGGGGCCCGAAACGGAGCGCAAACTGTCGCAAAGTGGAACGATTAGATAAGTAGCGGGGCCGGGCAGCGATGAATCACTCGATGCCGGTTTATTAACTTATCTTAGACGCTAATTTGATGAATGCTTGAAGACGCTCGGCCGACACACGGTCTGGTTACTCTCCGGGAGCAGCTTGGCTGCTTTAGCTCCCTCTCTCTCGCTCTCTGGCTCTCTATCTCTCTCGATAATATCTTAATCGACGTATTACACTCTTGGTTTTAGCAATTGGAGTAGCCATGATTTAGCTAGAATTTTCGATGCGATCGATTTGACTTTAACGTTTCGAGTGGTAGATTCTACAGATAATTGTTGCGCATAAAAGTTTTATTCAAATTCTTTCATTCGGTGTTTCAGTGGGAAGAATGATATTATTGGGTATATTGAAGATGTTTCGTCTGTATTGGAATTATATGAATCCTACGCTGCTAATATCTGTACAATGACAAGTGGGAGACTCGTGGAAATGTCTAGTTTAGCGAAAATCAACGTGGTTCATAGTTTAATGAAACAACTGCATGGTTAGAATAATGTTATTAATGCCTTACCTTCAAAGTAAACATCTAATTACGACGAACAAAACAATAAAAGATTCTTCGTGTTCTCGTATTAGTGATTGACACCTGGAGTCAGTCGTCTATATCTGATTTAACTGGTCCAGTTAAACCGAAAAATCGAGAGTCCTCTGCGCTTACATTCTTTTATCTTCGTTCATTTATTAACTCTTCTAACTAACATCCGAAAAATGTAAATACAGTTCTTCGTTTAACTTTGAACTTTTTCAATATCTGACACACGTAAACAGTTCTTCGTTCAATTTTGAACCTCTCCAACATCTGAAAAATATAAACAAAATTCTTCATTCCATTTTCAACTTCTCCAATTAATATCTGAAACACGTAAACACAGTTCATCGTTCAATTTTAAATTTCTCCAACTAACATCTGAAGCACACGTAAACACAGTTCTTCGTTCAATTTTGAAATTCTTCAACTAATATCTGAAAAATATAAATACAATTCTCCCTTCAATTGTCAACTTCGCCAACTAACATTTGAAACACGTATACACAGTTCATCGTTCAATTGTCAACTTCTCCGACTAACATCTGAAGCACACGTGAACACAGTTCTTCGCTCAATTTTCAATTTCTTCGACTAACATCCGAAACATATAAATACAATTCTCCGTTCAATTTTAAACTCCGTCTGATATCTGAAACACGTAAATACAGTATCTAATTATATGCTCCAGACCGTTGCGCACCGGTCCGCGGTGTCCCACGACGCCGCGTTGTTTCGCGTCTCGCGTTTCCTCTTTCTCTCGTCCGCGTCTCGCGGGTTGCACAAGGATATAGGAGGGCGGCGCGCCGCCGCATCCTTTCCTCCTTGTTCTCATCAACGAGATACATACTTACGGTGTAACTACGGGCCTTTTTTCCGCCCGATGTTGCCCCGTCACCCACACTTATCATCTTCTCGTGCCTCCGTCTCTCTCACTCCCTCTCTCCCTCTCTCTCTCTCTCTCTCTCTCTCTCTCTCTCTCTCT